ACCTAATGACCAAATGTGCCCAGACTGTAATGAAAGAACTGGAGGATATTGTGATTGCATATGGACAGAGTGATGAGTACAGCTTTGTGTTCAAGAGGAAAAGCAATTGGTTTAAAAGAAGAGCGAGGTAATTCCATGGCCTAGCTTCTTCAGAATACTTCCTACCAGCATTTGGTTTTTGCTCTTTTTAATTTCTGACTTACAGACTGCAGATAGAGTCTGCAGTATTTGCAACTGCAGAATGTCTATTTTCTGTCTATTTTCTGTACTTCGTCTGATAGGTGAACATCACATATGCCTCTTTATCTGTTTCTTTCCCCTCCATTCCTCATCACCTTAGCTTCTAGATAGATCTGGCGCTTAATATTAAGACTAGAAACCGAGACCATGAGAATATTATAATATTAATGATTTATAGGTTGGCTCTAGCCAGTGACAGCCTGTATGTGCATTACAGTATTGCTTAAATTTTTAATTAAGGAGGGTCTCAAAATATACAAATTAGATATTTCATTTGGCAGTATATTGAAACTCTCACAGAAAACAAAGCATATAATGAATTGGTATGTTTTTAAAACAATGGTTCCCTTCCTTCCAAGACTAAAAAACCCCAAAACCTCTTGAACCATAAATTCACATCACATCCTACAGAGAAAAATTTGGTATTAGTAAGTTACTGATGGGACTGGAGAGGGGCGGCCTGCTTAGTTTTTCTTGGCCCAACACATTTTATCTCTTGGCTTGCTGAATAGTTTGTGTAATCACTCTGTTGCACCCGCAGGTCCTGTCATGGTTTTGAATTAATATCATGCATTTTCTCTTTTCTTGCTCCACCCAATGGCCTTACTTTCCCAAGTAAGTTCATGACTCACGTGGCTTCCCAGTTCGCCTCCAGCTATGTGTTTTATTGGCGAGATTACTTTGAGGACCAGCCCCTTCTTTATCCCCCAGGCTTTGATGGAAGAGTCATAGTGTATCCTAACAACCAGACCTTAAAGGACTACCTCAGTTGGCGGCAAGCAGATTGTAAGTAAAACCAAATAAACAGATGTAGTTAAAACCACCAATTCCATACATTAGAGGTGGTGATTTGGTTCAGTTTTGGTGCATGTGTATTTTGTTCAGAATGCAATATTTCAGGTTTTTTTAATTAGTTGAAAACAATCGAACAGTTGGGAAATTTATGTAAATACTTCCTTTTTCCAGTTTTTTTTTGGGAAAAATCAGAAGACCTGGCAATACTAGGTCATCATTCCGACTTAGTATTGGACATAACCTGTGCTGGGCAGTGACTGCTGTCTTCACACACACACACACACACACACACACACACGGAAGCCAATGTGCCATAGTCCTCTACCATTCTCTCTTGTTCTCCAGGGGTCACCTACTCTGCTTTATGTTGTTTTTTTTTTTTAAAGATTTTATTTATTTGCGAGGGAGAGAATGAGAGACAGAGAGCATGAGAGGGAAGAGGGTCAGAGGGAGAAGCAGACTCCCTGCTGAGCAGGGAGCCTGATGTGGGACTCGATCCCGGGACTCCAGGATCATGACCTGAGCCAAAGGCAGTCGCTCAACCAACTGAGCCACCCAGGCGCCCTCTGCTTTATGCTTTTATGTTCATGGTGGCCTCAGTGGGTGATTTGAGTTGTGACCCCTGCCTTACATGACTATGCTGACATGTTTGTGAGACTTACTCATTTGGTATATCTTGATTTTGCCAGAAGAAGAACTGGGAAAGTGCTAGGAATAATCTAAATCAAATAACTTTGAAAGTACTCCTAAGTGTAATTTTCAAGTTAACCAGTTTATGTAAAGCATAACTGAAATGACAGAATAAAACCTTTAGGAAATAAGTTTGTTTATACTTGACCACCTCCCCCCGCCATGTTCCCAGTATATGGTTCTGGGTATATCACTAAATGTCTCTGCGATCTCTCTACTTTAGAGAAGAGGGGAAGAGTTCTAATATTCTTTGAAGTGCAAATACTGAATAAAAATTATGTATGTATAAACAGTGCTACTCTGTTCTCACAGGTCACATCAATAATCTGTATAATACAGTTTTCTGGGCACTTGTACAACAGTCTGGACTAACACCAGTACAAGCCCAAGAGAGATTACAGGTATAAGATCTTACTGCATTAATACTTAGCTGGGGGCGGTTTTCTATACTCTTCCATGGCATTTTGCATTCTTTTAAAGCTCTCTTTACTGGTTTGTTTTGAGAGGATATAAAAAACTAGTAGCAGCTTTGCTGCTTGCTTGCTCTGTGACTGTGGGTGAGTTACTATCTCTCCCTGGGACTTAGTGTCCTTAGCTGGAAAATGGAGTTAGTGATACTGGCTCTACCTTCCCACATGGTAATGCTTGGCTGGGGCTGCATATTGGTTGCCTTCTTTAGACGGGGCATGTGCTCTTCTTTTTCATCAGTCCCACTTGGCCTCTTCATCATTGCCATTCCCTGCTGGGTATGTGCATCGGTAAGAGTAGAAGCTCTGGGAGTCCAGTAATTGTACTCAGGGACTTCTGTTTAATTTTCTCTTCTCTGCCTTAGTTCTTTATTTTTTTTTTTTTAAGATTGATTTATTTATTTGTGAGAGAGAGAAAGTGTGAGCAAGCAGGGTGAGAGGCAGAATCTTGAGCAGACTCTCTGACCAGCAGGGAGCCTGATGTAGGGCTCAGTCCCAGGACCCTGAGATCATGACCTGAGCCAAAATCTAGAGTCAGATACTTAACCAACTGAGCCACCCAGGTGAAATAGGAAATAATAGTTCCCACCTCATAGGTTTATGGTGATAATTAAGTGGCATGATGCATGTAAAACACATAGCATAGTACAAAGCACATTGTAAGTACTTTAATATAAACACTGGCTTTCATCATTAGATGACAGCGCTGCTTGTAGGATGACTAACTCTGAAATGAGGTGATGTGTTGTAACGGCTCCTAACTCAGAGCCTGGTACGTTGCAATTACACGATAAATGGTGCTCATTAACGATGATGATAAGGATTTACAGATACCATTAATAGGAATACTGGTAGATTTATCCAGAGTTTGGAAGAGCTGAGTTTAGATTTTGTTTTTTCTTAGAAGAATAAAAGCAATTTTTAGCCTTAGGCAATTTATATAATCTTTCTAAGCTTCAGAGTTGTGTTCTTTCAAATGGAGATGGTAATGAGGGTCAAATAAGATAATATAATGTATGTAGTACAGAACAGGTGCTCTTACTGCTAGTTCCTGTCACCCTATCACAGTTGTGACTTTTGAAGCCAGTTATTTGCTACAGACGACAATTTTTTGAATTTATACATCTAAATAAGATTTAAACTGCTCTTACAATGCAGATTCATTAGTATCTATAAGAGGTTTGATAAAACCATTCCACTTTTTGATTTGTTTGTGGAAATTTAGATAGAGGGTAGAATGGATAGGTAGGATTAGGGCAGAGAGCAGACATAAAAATCTGTTTTTGTCTTTTTATTTTCTCAGGGAACTCTTGCAGCAGACAAGAATGAGATTTTGTTTTCCGAATTCAACATCAACTACAACAATGAGCCTCTGATGTATAGGAAAGGGACTGTGTTGATATGGCAGAAGGTAATGCTGTTCTGTCCAAAGAAAAATGGAGGTCAGAAAGACAAAGCCTGTGCCCATCCCATGCTTTGTCTGGCCTACCACATGTATGCAGATGTGATTCCAGTCACTAACAGGAATTAGATCTTTTTAAAAATGAAATGCTATATATTATTTTGGATGCTTTTTGTGTCAGTGCTAATTTTGTCAGTTTGCTAGTGATCTTTGTGGTCTAAGTGGCATCACAGATTTTAGAATTAGTACACTTACTTTTCTGTGTCCTAAGCTCTCCAAAATAAAACCCTATAAAGGGGTACACTGCAGATAGAAGGATTTTTGCATTCAAAGAACATTTCTTCCACACTGGATAATATCATTAAATAGCCAATCCATCCCATGACAGCTATAATATGAGGCAGTAGAAGATGTTGTATATGAGGATTCTGTCACTTGCAGAATATTCTGGAGATTCCCCAGATATTCATACTTACCAAATAGTCTATAATAAGTCTGTACATTTACCTAAATTCTTAATTCCACCAATATTTTCTCTCTGTACCAGCTTCTGAGCATAATGATTTCTCTAAATTTTTAATCTCCTTCCATGTAAAGTAGTTTTTCTTTTTAATGAATGTTTTCACGTGTTAAATGGTGCCTTAAGAATTAGTCATCCCACTGGCAGCTTCAGCTTATTAGTATTTTTAAGGCACATTTGCTCTTTAGCACAGGCTTGGATACTTCTTCATGCAGATGAGAGAGCAGAATTACCTTTAATTCTATAGTTATTGCTAATAAGGAACATGGAATCACTCCTTGGTTCCTAAGATCCTTTCAGAATATAGCAACATAACTTTGTAGAAGTTTTTAATTGTAAACAAATTCATAGATGTTGAGATATGTGTACCTGTATATCTACCTGATAAATATATATCACTCAGAAGTATATAAAGTAAAAGTAAACTTCCTGCATATCCCCCTTTTCTCTCCCAAACCCAGTTAACAGTGTCAGTATTTTAACTTTTACCTATAGGTGGGTGAAGTCACAACAAAAGAAGTTAAACTGCCAGCAGAAATGGAAGGAAAAAAGATGGCGGTGACCCGGACCAGGACAAAGCCAGTGCCTTTATATTGCGATATAATCGGGGATGCTTTTTGGAAGGAACATCCAGAGATCCTAGATGAAGACAGCTGATCCTTTGCTTGTTAGCCCTGGCATGCTTAACCATGCAAGACCCCTAAGTCTCCTGGCCTTAGGTGCCCTAGGAGGCCTGCGACGAAGGACAGTGTGCTAGTAGTGACACATGACTGGTTCGAAAGGGAGCAGGGAAAGAAGGGGCGGGTAGGGGTGGTTATCTTGTTCTGCTTTAAGTAGAACCTTTTTTTTCTTACAATGTTGGAACATGGTTCCTTCTGTAGAAGTGCATTTTTTTTTTTAATCGTGGTGCTATTTTTATAAAGCAAGAACTATTTTATGCTAGGCAGAATGAATCATTTTTAGATTGTGGCATAAGTGTCAAGCTTTTTCCACCTATGACAGAACATGAATCCAAACTTTACTCTCAACCACCTGTTCTTAACTACAGAATGCACTAACCTTGAAAATCTCACCTTTCCTCCCGTGTACTTTGACCTGGAGATAATAGGTTGGTCGCTGCATGATGCCTCTGAATTCAGGAATTCCAGGGAGAATCAGGGTTTTGTGCCAGTTTCCAAGTTGGCAACTTTGGCTGAACAAATTTGTAGTTTGGAAGTCCTTGTGTAAACATTCCATAGATTGATTTTGTGGAGTTGTCAGCATGATCATTGTCTCACCAGGGGTATTTTCAAGGCCACTTAACCTCTTTCTAAAAAGAAAGAGAATTATGTGTATATGAGAAAAAGAAAGTGTGAGAATGAAGGATGAGGAAAAAACATTGATTCCGTGTCCTCTAAATACTTCAGTTTTAAAAGTTACCTTCCTGCTGGACTTCCTGAAAAGGATTCTCAGGTAGCCTCTATGTAATCAGAATACTGACATTTGAATTAGCGGAGTGGTCAACACTCCCCTTGGGGTCACAAGTGGCAGGTGTCCTGGGCACCTAATAGTTCCACCTGCTGGTGGGCCAGTGTAGTTGGGGGAGGAGCAGCATAGAGTAGCAGCAGTAATGGCACATTGCCAAGTTGCTGGCCTCTGAAGCCAGGGGTCCCCCTCTGAAGTGAGGATAGGTGGTGAGAGAACTCACATTGCCTGTTGTCCTCGTGTCATATTTCAGAGTAAGATTATTTGGCTCTATTAAGAATTAATTAAGGGGCACATGGATGGCTCAGTCAGTTAAGCATCTGCCTTCAGCTCAGGTCATGATCTCAGGGTCCTGGGATCGAGTCCTGAGTCAGGCTCCCTGCTCAGCGGGGAGTCTGCTTCTCCCTCTCTGCCTCCTGCTCTCCCTGCTCGTGCTCTCTCTCTGACAAATAAAATCTTTAAAAAAAAAAAGAACTAATTAAGTGCAGCCTACACTTTAGTGCCTGGTCTTGCATTACAGAATTTACAGCCACAAAGAAAATGTACTTTTGAAGGCAACGGCTGGTCTCCTTCACTAATTGATACCTCATCTGTCAGAATCATTTTTTTCCCTTCCTGTTCTTACTACACAGGAAGAGGAGATTTGGTACTTGTTTGGTAATTGATAAAATCTCTGGAAAAAAAAAAATAAAGGTTTCCACTCCCTTGGCGTAGTTTTTCATTTATTTTTCTCATACAAATACAGTATATGAATCCAACTTTTGTATATATGTGTCTTTACATAAGCCAGGATAAATGTACCTTCATCACAGCAGTGATTCACAGACTTCTGCATACAAAAATTTACTTGGAATGCTTGTTTTAAGTGCTATTCCAGCCTCCACCTCTCCCCCTGTGAAGATCTGAGGTTTGCTAATCGGATTTTTAACCAAAAAGGCTTCTGATGCCTATGGATGATACATGGCACTTTGGGCAACATGGCCCTCAGTATACTGTGATAGGCCACATGAGGCAATAAGGTAATGTAGCTCCTGACTGGCCAATGTAACATAATGGTAAGTAAATGGATAGCATTATATGTCAAAATTTATATAAATTATATCTATCTATATAGGTATCAATTATATAGATAAATTTAAATAAGAGGCATTAAAGTACAGACTTTCAGGACAAAACCACCCAAAGAAATGTGCTTCCTGTGGGTGCTGTGTGATACTATCAAGGCTCAATTTGTCTTAAGATAGGGGGACGAACACTTAAATCGTTGAACTAGCAGCAGTTTGCAGCTTTGTTTATTGTTTGGGCAGAAGTTTTGAGCAAAGCAATAGATGTTTAATAGTCCTACCATAACTAAACCCGTAGTGCTCTTAGGAACACCTTCTGATGGCTTTTGTTTGTTGCAGCATTCCAGTGTTTCACAGTTGTATATTAATTTTCATCTTGCTTTCTAAGGTAGAGAATAACATTCTCTTGGGCTTTCCAAAGCGTAAAGAAATGTTCAAACACAAGAAAGAGCTAGTTGATAGTTCAGGAGAGTGGTGGCAGGAAGGTGATTTGTGTGACTTGTAGGTAACTGGAAACATCTTGGCTGTGATGGATTAGGGGATAATATCTGGCCTTCTGTATAGGCTTTCATTTTAATATCAAAAAGCAAAAATGTTTTGCTGAACATGCTATGTTCAGCATCTTAAAAAATAAGTGGTACAACCAGGTCTTGTAAATCTTCATCATCCTGGCTTCCAAGAGCTGTTTTCCTAGTTTCCTCCACTTGCCTAAGTAGTGCTCAGAAAATCAGTGATACAGTGAATTTTCTTTAATACTAAGGTCGCTCTGGTGTTAATACAAATTACTTTTTGCATAGGGTGTCGGAAATGCAGGACTGGGATCCAACCATCCTTCATTGTCTACTTAACCAATACTAACTAGCTAACATAGAGCATTTAAATGCTCTCTATGCAGTATCTCTTCATTCTTAGGAGAATTCTGTAGGTTAGGTACTATTTCTATCACATTTCAGGTGATAATGTAAAGATCCAAAGAAGCGAAATGATTTGAGCCCAGGTAGGCTAACCCCCAGTGAGACTCGGCATGAAAGCAGATTGGGACTGCCCTCTTCCAGCCTCTTCCCATCAGCTCAAGCCAGGAGTATACTGCAGTTTGAGAGCAGAAAAACGCCTAGGGAGGCTTGTTAAAATGCCGATTCCAAGATCCACCCCCGGGGAATCTAGAGTATTAACAAACACCCTAAGTGATAATGATATACATGGGGAAACCGCGTTCAAACAGATTAATCCGTTTTCCGAGCGCCGTGGCGGGCCGGCGGGGCTGAGCGCGGACAGATGCTGCCCTCCGGCGGTCGCGCCGGCGCAGTGCAACCCCAGGCCGCGGCTGCGCAGTGCCGCCCTCTGGCGGCTCCGCTCCTCCTTCCCATCGGCCTCGGCTTGCGGGCCTTTCAAACATGGAGGAGCGGGAGCGGGGGGCGAGGTCGGCTCTCGCCGGGAGCCCCGCGCGCCCGCCCAGCCCGCGGCTGGATGTCAGCTCTGACAGCTTCGACCCTCTGCTGGCCCTGTACGCGCCCCGCCTGCCGCCCATCCCCTACCCCAACGCACCCTGCTTCAACAACCTGGCCGAGTACGAGAGCTTCCTCAGGACCGGGGTCCGGGGCGGCGGGCGCGGGCGGGCGCGGGGCGCGGCCGCGGGCTCAAGGGGCCCCGCCGCCGCTGCCGGGCTCTCGGCCAGAGCCCGTCGCCGCCAGGACGCCCCCGCGCCAGACCCCGAGCGCATCCAGCGCCTCCGTCGCCTCATGGTGGCCAAGGAGGAAGGGGACGGGGCCGCGGGGCCGCGCCGGCGGGGTCCGGGCCGGAGCAGGAAGGCGCCGCGCAACGTGCTCACGCGAATGCCCTGTGAGTCCTGCGGGGGCGGGCGGGGCGGGGCGGTGGGGGGCACGAGGGCCCAGCCGGCTGCCCGGAAGGTGGTGGCCCACGGGGTGTTTGCAGGGTGCTAGGGGCTTGGCGCAGGTCCACACGCGTCAGGGGAAGGGTCTTGGTGAAGGTTGCGGAGCTAATCCGCCACCGTGAGGAGGTTCTGCTGGAGTCATGTGGCCAATGGGGGCGTGGGGAGGGTCTTCTGGAGTAATCAGAGGTCTGCATGAGCGGGGAGGTGGGGGTTGAGAGTGCTCAGGCTGTGGAGGTAATAAGGAGCCACGGGAAGGGTCTGCGTGGGTAACGGGTGTAGGTCCGCGGAGGTAACTGGGTCCGTGGAAGTGGCTACAGAGGTGATGAGTTCCCTGCAGCGAGGGTCTGCGGGTGTGACGGGGATCTGGAGAGGTGGTGGGGCCCGGAAACGGGGCATTACAGGGAGGATCTGCGGAGTTGATGAGAGGTCTTAGGGACCACAGCCAGAGGGGAGGGGCACGACCAGTATTAAGGAAAGGAGAGTGTTTGGTGAGTGGGATTGGGGATGATGGGACGGAGAGTGGGGAGATCTATCTGTTCAGTTAGAACAGGGAACATAATCGCATAACCCCTGCACATTAAGTGACAGCTCCTTCCAGGGTGCTTATAGGAGAAGGGCCACTGGGTCTTGATACACGTATGTTTGCATTACCAAGTCACAAGTGCTGGAATGCAGCAGGGACAAATGCCACTAAAACCCAGACACTGTTTCACAGCCACTCTGCCAGGATGGGTGCAGGAGTGTGTCTGTCAGGCTCCCGTTACCATATGCACAGGTTATTTTAAGTTCTGAAGGTGTAAATGATACAAGGGAATCTCTTGGAGCCTCCGAATAGATCCTTAGAGTAAAGCTGTAAACAGGGAAGGTTGCTAACGTGGGAGTTAGGTCTTAAACAAATGGAATAAAAACAGCCCAGGGTTATGTCTTTTGTCATCTGGCAAACATTTCTGACATCTGCCAGTGAACACAGTGACCTAGTTAGCCATTCAAAGCATCTGTATCCTGATAGCTAAACTGTAACATTATTAAATCACTGCTTTTAGAATAGAGGGTTGTGCGAAGCAAGGGAATATTTTCATTCCTAGACGTGTTTATTAAGAGAGAAACATCCTGAAAAGCTGTGTGCTGTTAGATGTATCTTTGTCAGATCATCTACTGTGACACACAGTGCCAGAGCCTTCTTGCCAAAGCTAGGGTGCACCCCAGCTTGCTTGCCCAACAGTAACACAAAGATAAAGTATGCATGTTCCTAAAATAAGAGCAGTTTGGGGGACCTTATTGCCACTATCAGATCTTGGAAATGCACTTCAAGTGTCAGATTGTAACATTTATTTCCATTTTGCCAGTTGTTGCTTTGCTACAGAGATTGTCAAGGGAAAGACATATTTCTATGTGGGAGTGGTTTTAGCTTTACCTATGGAGCACTCTGCTATATTGGTATGACAGAGCATGAAAACCAGCTTTGTCGATTTCCCATGATTAAATATATGCCTGGAATCAAGATCTTAGAACGTGCCATAGGCACTGAAAATTTTAATCACATCACTAGAAACAGTTGAGTGTACATGATAGAGATGGGTAGACATCACAGAGAACTGATGAGCTTCAGAAAGCAAGAAGAGTACAGGGGTGTCTGGGAGGCTCAGTTAGTTGAGTGTCCAACTCTTGATTTAGGCTCAGGTCATGATCTCAGGGTTGTGCGATTCAGCCTGAGCCCTGCGTTGGGCTCCCCACTCAGCAGGGAATCTGCTGCTCTCCCTCTGCCCTTCCCCCTGCTCATGCACACTCTCTGTCTCTCTCTCTAAAATAAATAAATGAATCTTTAAAAAACAAAAAGGAAGAAAGCAAGAAAAGTACAGAAGCAAGGGTGAAGATTAAATTTATTCAGAAAGAGTTCCTGGAAGAGATTGGCTTCAGGTCTCAAAGTTAATTTAAGGAAGTGCATGGTTGAGGATAACAGTAATTATTTAATAGGTTATTGAGGTATAATTTACACATAATAAAATTCACCCTTTTAAAGTGAGTTTTGACAAATGTATAGTTGTGAAATTACCACCACAATCAAGATACAGAACAAATCATCACCTCAGAAAGTTCTCTCATGCCCCTTTTTAGGTCAAGAGACAATTTTATTGTTGCTAATTGTGGCTACTATTATTTAGCTGGTAAGTGTTGTGCACTTGCCAAGCCCTTTAGACGCATTATATCTTATTTTACCTTTAGATACTACTTTATAAATGAGGTCTGCTGAGCTTAACTACTTGCCCAGGATCACATAGCTTGTTAGTTTGCATCTGAGACTTAATGCTGGGTTGTTCAACTCCAGGGCCTGTGTGCCAGGGCCATTATGCTAATCTCAGGTAAGGGAAGAGGGGAGTACATTCTAAATTCTCATTTTTCTTTGCTTGCTTCTTTTGGTGGGTGGAGGGTGCCACATAAGTGAGGCAGAAAGGTGTGTGTCTAGAGCAATGAGAACTGAATTTGGGTCCAGAGAAGGATTTGTTAAAAACACTTTGAAGACCAAAGAGTTTCTCTTTGACTTTGTTATGATAGATAGTGGGAACCATCGTGTATATTCTTTTTTTTTTTTTTTAAAGATTTTATTTATTTATTTGAGAGAGAGAATGAGATAGAGCATGAGAGGGGGAGGGTCAGAGGGAGAAGCAGACCCCCTGCCGAGCAGGGAGCCCGATGCGGGACTCGATCCTGGGACTCCAGGATCATGACCTGAGCCGAAGGCAGTCGCTTAACCAACTGAGCCACCCAGGCGCCCCATCGTGTGTATTCTTAAGTGAAAAAACTTTTAGGGCAACCTTTCTAATAACTTACTTTCTAGTGGTAAAGTGTATTTGGGGAGGTATAGACCACAGACTCAAGAGTTTGACTGCTGGCTTTTTTAGTTTTGAACACTGGCTCCTGCACTTTCTAGCTGTTTTACAGTAGGCAAGTCACTTAAACTCTTTGGGAAACCTCAGTTTCCTCATCTGTAAAGTGAGGACAGTAATAGTATCTACCTATAGCTGTTAAGTTTAAGTTAGTTAACCCATTCAAAGCTCTTACATGTAGGGAAATTCTCAATGAATGTTAAATGTCACTGCGATTGTTTTAGATTATTGTTGTGGTTATTGTTTTAGACTGTCATAATTAAAAGCTCCAGGTCAGGATGTATATATACCCTGCCTGTATTGGGTGTTGGCTCAGCTGTTTACTAGGTAAATAACCTTGAGAAATTATTTAAATAAACATTTCTGAGCCTTATTTTCCTCATCTGTAAAGTGGGGCAAAATAATAGTACCTATGTGTTAAAGTTGTGAGGATTAAATAAAATAACATGCATAAAGTTAAACTTAACCCAAGGCCTGGCTCATACCGAGCGCTCAGTAATTGGTGATAATGATGGTGTCAGGGATGATGTGAGGGGAACTGGGAGACTAGACTAGACAGATAATAAGCCAATCATCTGATAAGGCTCTGGACTGTATTATTGATTGGAGAAGGAGAAAGGAAAGGGTATGTCTTAGTTATTGAGAATCTGTTGTCTGAGCTTAGTGTGGCCACAAGTAGGGAGAAGAATGGAGTTAAGAATGACCTGGCTTTGGAAGGTTGGGGCATAAGAATAGTGGCAATGGAGAAGGAGATCTGGAAGAATAACAATCTTCAAAGATAAGGCATATGTTTTTTTGTTGTATTACATTTTAGAAGACTGGCTCATATATCCATTTGGAGTTTGTTATACAGACTGCTGGAAAGAGATCAGAATGTGCATTCTGATTCAGAATGTGGAGCTCATTTTTGCCTTGGCAGTTTGCTGTGATAGGTGGTGCTAGTGTTATATTTTTGATCACACAAGGAGTGAAGTGATTCCTGGAATTACACCTTATCAAATCTTTGGGAAAAAAAAAGAGAGAAGAGTACAGATATGAGAGTTGAAAGACCCGAGTTTATCATTTGTTTAACCAGAATAAGAAAACTGTTGTTAAGGTGTGTGTCTGTGGTTTCTCTCTGGTTTGGGGGCTCAGGGGGTGAAGTAGTACCTCTATTTATTTACAAGTTAGAACAAGAATGGTGTTTAAGAAAAGAATGGTCTTTCCACTGTTGGTGGAAACACATGCAGGGGTGAGGGGAAGCAGGGAATGTGTATAGGCAAAGAAACTGATTCAGGCAGTATGATCAGTTTCTAAGAAATTGAATTATAAAGACTTACTCCTGAAATGAATCTAGAAGATAACTAGTCTAACCTCATTTTATGAATAAGGAAACTCAGACTTGTGGAGAAAAAGTTACTCAAACATTCAAAGTATTTCAAAATATGCTATTGCTAGAGCAGGGATAGATGATGAAGATCAGACCAAGGTGCTTATGTTCCTTTCAAGGCCTCTGTTTCTGCCACACTGCCTTCAACTGTGCCTTCTTGCTAAATTTTCAATCTGACATAAACTCCCACTTCTCATCTGCTAAGTTACTTTCTTCCAAGAGTATTTTCTTTTATTAATTTATCACTGCCATCATTTATAAGCTGATCTGTGAGTGAGGGATAAGGAGGTCAAGAGTAACCTGCTTAGTTATCCAAACTGAAGTGCAGGACTGTTGTTGTCTTTCCTGGCACTAGAAACAAAACAGGTTTTTTTTGTGTGTTTACTATTGATGGCAATAATCAAGCTCCAGAGACTTTTGCCTTGCAAACTTGGGAGGGAAAGACTGAGGCTGTGTATGTGTGAGTGTGAGTGTAAGAGTGTGTGTGTGTGCACATGTGGTTTTCTTTTGGAAGGTTTTATATAGTATAGCCATCATATTGTGAAGGCTAAGTTTACGTGAAGTCATAAAAATAAAATTCATCCCTCTTCCCAAGCTCTGAAAAAAGAATCCATCATAGTAAAAGCTGCAGGTTATAGTCCCAGCACTCTTCCCATGAATTGTCCTATTCTTTTTATGTGATGCTTATCAGCAATCTCATAGGAGCCTAATGCCTAGCAGGCGCCTTTGTATCAGCCAGGCTTGGAATGCAACCAGGTCTCTTCCTCCTAGTGTAAAGATGATGTACATTGGAATCCATCGGCTCCAGAGAGCTTAGGCATGGAGGGTCTTCAGATGGGCGGCCAAAAGTTCATTCTGTCTTAGAGGACTGCACATATTTAAGGGCAGGTGTGTTACATGGTTTGTTTCCTTTAAACATATGAACAAGTTGTTTGGTTTTGGGTTTTTTTGGTAAAGAGTCAAGCTGGATATGTGGTTCATGAGAATTACCCTTAAAAAACTTGTCTTGGGACACCTGGGTGGCTCAGTCAGTTAAGCTTCTGCCTTTGGCCCAGGTCATGATCCCGGAGTCCTGGGATTGAGCCCCACATTGGGCTCCTTGCTCAGCAGGGAGCCTGCTTCTCCCTCTGCCTGCCGCTTCCCTGGCTTTTGCGTGCATGGTCTCTCTCTCTCTGACAAATAAATAAATAATCTTAAAAAAAAAGTTATCTTACCCAGATACAGAACTGAGAAGAGTTTTGCTGCTGATGTGTACATTTAATGTGGGGTTTTCCCCCCCAAAAATTTGTAAATAATGGTGCATCTTAGCGTCAATGACATCATAGAACACAGGCTGTTCGAGTAGTGAAACATCTGGGTGATAGCCACATGTACACTTTATCTCCGTCCTGGTGGAATCTTGCCTTATTTCAGTGCCTGCTGCCTGTACTTGTTATGTTGCCCATTGGGCCTTCCTGTTTGCACAGTGAGGTTGCCACTGTGCCATGTTGCCTAATGTTGCTGGAGATGGTCGGGTGGCCTTGGGTGTTAATTCTGGGAATGAGAGCAGATGTTCATGCTATGCTCACTGTTCTTGTCTTGTTTCAGTGCATGAAGGCAGCCCTCTGGGTGAGCTCCATCGTTGTATCCGGGAGGGAGTGAAGGTGAATGTTCACATCCGCACTTTCAAGGGTCTTCGGGGTGTCTGTACAGGCTTCCTCGTCGCATTTGACAAGTTCTGGAATATGGTAATTAAGCCCTTCTCAAGGGGTTAGAGAACCTCCTAGGGATTAACTTTTATATGTCTAAATGACCTGAGTAACCTTATTTAGGAAAACCTATAGAATAACTTCCCAGAAGAACTAGAATTTTTGCATTCTCTTGGCCAGCAACAAAAGAGTACTTTCTGTTGCTTCCTTTTCTTTAAAGCATTGGCTTTCAACCAGGGTAATTTTGCCCTTCTCTCCTTCCTAGGGACAATTGGCAATGTCTGGGGGCATTTTTTAATTGTCACAATTGTGGCATGGGGTATTATTGGTATCTAATGGGTAGAGGCCAGAGGAGTTGCTGCACATCCTACAATACACAAGATAGCCCCCCAACAACAAAGAAGTATCTGGTCCAAAATGTCATTAGTGCTATGGTTAAGAAACCCAGCCTTAAGGAATAATTATTTATTTCAGCTGTTTAGTAATTTTATATCAATTTCCTACTGACCATTCTTTCACTCATTTCAAAATATTTACTGATTTTCCACTTTGGCTGGTACTTTACCAGTGCCAGGTACAGAAATTTCAGAAAGGAACTTTCACGCTACAGTTTTGGGAAGATAGATGAAGATAGAGGGGAAGCAGGCATACTAATAAGCAAGGTACTTTACATGGTTTTCCTTATGAAGGGAATGCGCCCCCACTCTCCTAGAGGCTTATTGTCTGCTTACTAGATATTTGTAGGAGTGAAGAGACATTATAGCACAACACAATATGGGGCAGTTAAAATAGGAACACCAGGCTTTCTGCTGTTTCTTTTTCATATGGTCTTCCATCTCCAACTTTTCTTTTTCCTGCATTTTATCTTCATCCATGCATTCTCCTAGATGAGTATAGTAGTTGCTGCCATTTATTAAGCACTTAGCATTTGCTGGATAGTGTACTAAGGGTTTATCTCAATGAATGAGGTTTACTACTGTTCCATTTTACAAATGAAGAAATTGAGGCTAGAGATACTGAATGATTGGCCCAAATTACCCTGTTAGTAAGTGGAGGTCCTAGAACTTTATTCCAGGTCTTTCTGACTCCTAAAATCATGTTTTCAACCACTGTGCAATCAGAAGACCTGGATTTGAATCCTAGCTTTACCACTTGGTAGTTGTGTTATTCTAGGCAAGATAATTTCTCTGAAGCCCACTTTTCTTATATCTAAAATGTAGGGGAAAGTACTTTACTGTTACAATTTTCCCTTTGAAGGAATAGTATTTAAGAGAACATCTTTGATATGATGGTCATGATAATAATCCTGTCAGCTTATATTTGTAGGGTGAGTTATACTTTTCAAATTGATTTCTCAGACATGATGTCATTTGATCCTAATAGCTGTCCTATGAGGTTTATCTCTGAGAGACAAAAATTCAACAATTCTGTATGTAACCCTGGTTGTTAATACCAGTTCATTGCTGTCATAAGACCTAGAAACTGAGGAAGGAAAAGAAGCAGTAGAATAGTGTTTCCTCAAAGTGCGGCCTAGCAGCACCCTACATCACAATCATGGAGTTTCTGGTTAAAAGAGAAAATTCCTGGGCTTTATCCCAGACCTACTGAGTCAGCATATCTAGGAAGTAGCCTTGGATTTATATTTTAATAAGCTTCCTAGATACTTATGCACACTGAAATTTAAGGACCTCTACCATGCATTTGTAAAGGCCCCTTACCATAGACAAAACCCATATTATATGGTGGTAGCAGCTTGGAAATCTTACTCAGAGGTGCCAGGTATTACCATTTCTTTCTGCCCAAGAGCGGAGTCACTTGTTTAGTTCTGCTAAATGAGATGTTTATTGTGCTTTTTAAATTTTTTCCTGGAAGCTGTAAAAATAATATTTTTAATTCTGCCAAATTTTTTTCTCCTTTGGGCTGTTTTTCTAGGCACTTACCGATGTGGATGAGACCTACCGAAAACCTGTTCTAGGCAAAGCGTATGAGCGGGATTCTTCATTGACTCTCACTAGGGTAGGCTGTTTCCCCTGACTTCCTGAGTACCCAGTGTGCTTTCAAGCTTAGAAATGGAGATCACTGAGCCTGGTGAACAGGTTTTCCTAGTGGGAGAGCTCATTTGCTGTCCACTATGTATGCCTGGACCAAGATCTTCGTTAGTCTCGCTTCTCATGCATTCAGCTAATCACAAATGAGTCTGTGCTTTTGACCTGCATAGTATTTGAGCAACAAGTTACCTCTTATAACCTTAAAAGTCTTTCCATTTTATACCACAGAAAAAAGCAGGTGCCTTTTCTCTTGGCATTATTGATTTATCTGTATTATGGCTACACACAGATGATTCATTACTAACTTTTTAAAAATTGCACAGCAAGGAGTCTATAAAACCTAATTAAGCAATCTGGTGTTTTTTTCTATATTGAAAGAGGGATGTTGAAGGCCAAAGAGAAGGCTGATATTTATCATTGCTTTCCTTATAGCTGTTTGATCGCCTAAAACTTCAAGATACCTCCAGAAAGGAAGCAGATTCTAAGTCTGCAGTTGAAGACTCCACTCTGTCCAGATATTCCCAGACATCTACTTGGAAGGTGGCTTCAGTGTGGGGAAGAGAAGATACTGACCGGGGCTCACGCAGGCGCTCCCGCTCCGTCCCTTCTTCCCTGCAGGCATCTGCAAGGGAGGAGTCCAGGTCAGAGATGTCAGGGAGGACTACACGGACAGAAGGGTCAAGTGCGGGAGGTACCTTTTCCAGGGCTACCACCCTTTCCAGGGGCCAGCCCCGTAAGAAAAAGCGAAAGCCCAAAGTGGATTACCAGCAGGTATTCACTCGACACATAAATCAGATTTTCATTCGAGGCGAGAATGTCCTGCTGGTTCATCTTGCACAGTGACCAGCTGGCCTCCCTGGAGCTTTGGTTTTTAGAAATAAAATGCATGAATTGCTGCTATGCTGTATACTAGTATCCCAGTGAAACTCTGAGTTGGAATGATTCCCTCTGGTCCTGCATGTGCAGAGCATAGAGCCAGGCTCCGGCCCTCTGGAAGATGAGCTCCCTCAAGGGGACGCAGGCCTTAGGAGGGTGGGTATTTGCATTAATATCAAGTCAAAAGCTGTACAGAGGAAACAACATGCATCTTATTTGGTGTCATGGTCGAGTTTAGACACTCAAACCAAATATCAAATCTTCATTTGAATTAGGGGTCATGGTATGAATTAAATTCACCTCACAGATACTAAAAGGGTGGGAGGGAAAAAACACCTCAAAAAATAATTTCATTTCTAAAAGCTAGTGCCCTAAGTACTCATGAATTTGATTCTAAGAGTAGCAATATAAATTTCCCTGTAGTCTTGTACCCACAACTTGTAACTGACCTTGGAATTTTGCTCTACACCATTCTCTCTTGATCAAGAAATGTAATTTATTACCTTTGAATATCTATAAAACTAAGAAAGCTACCAACTTATGAAAGAGTAAAATTTGGATAGCTGGTATGCTCAGAGCAACTGACAACGAATATTCTGTTTTTACCCCTCTCATTATTTAAAGGGATACAGGACTTCAGTAGCCTTCCCCACTTAGCAGAGGTAGCTTCTGAGAATGGCATGCCAGATGGGACTAGAAGATGCTCACGAGGTGGCTTCTTGTCCTTCTCTCACTTCTGTGGCATGGTGCTAGTGCATGTACCCAGTGTATTGCCCTTCTGTACGTAGTGTGAACTGTTCCGTGAGCTTTATGGCAGGTGACTATGACCTTCGTATCTGGCTTCAAAGAGTTCTGCATGAACTCAGTAGTACGTATGCATCACATGGTTGAGAGTTCCCTTTCTGGTTAGGGCTGGCCTGTGTAGACTAACTTTCAGAATGGTATTTCCATGAAACAGGAGTGGTAGTTTTATTCCCTGGTGTCATGCCGAAGAGGTTCTTACAAAGTACAGTGGGTGGCATCTCTAAGGGACACTTTACTCACAGCCTGGCTTGAGTAATGAGAACACTGTAGCACCCTCTGATACTTCTACTTGAATCATACTATATGCTTTTTCAGTTGCTAGTACAGAATAGGCTACATCTAGACACAGACTGTTAGGCAATCTTGATTTTTTGTTTTGTTTATATTTGGTTTTATTTTAGAATAACTTATGTTCAAAGTGGGAATAGGAATTGCTAACTAGGGCGCCTGGGTGGCTCAGTTGTTGAGCGTCTGCCTTCGGCCTGGGTCATGATCCCAGGTTCCTGAGATCGAGCCCCACATCGGGCTCCCTGCTCAGCAGGAAGCCTGCTTCTCCCTCTCCCACTCCTTCTGCTTGTGTTCCCTCTCTCGCTGTGTCTCTGTCTTAAATAAAATCCTTAAGAAAAAAAAAATAGCTAACTAGTTAAAATGTTTGAAAAAAAAAATTCCCCTGCTGTAATTTTTATGTAACTTAGGTAAGCCTTCTGAGAAGCAGGGTGAATATTGTTGAGGGAGTTAGGACACCTGGTCCTTCTGCTAGCTGGGCCACTGGCTCGTCATGTAATGAAAGGAGAGCAGACTTAACCCCTCCGTGCCTCAGGTTTTCCCATCAGACACCTACCTCACAGGGGCACTGAGACAAAGAATTTATGTCTCTAAACATATTTAAGTGCCATGAGTAACTTTTACTAACTATATTTCATAGCTCGGTAAGAGTTCTATGTCTTATGAGCAAGGCAGGTGCTACATGTGAAAGTCATCTCCGTAGGTGTCATAATTATGAACTTGTCCTCAGAAGGCAGTGATATCTTCAGGAATTGTTTTCCATAATCCATTCCTTTCTCGTAAAGGACAATGGAAGTTCTTAGAAGAATATCCTCAATAAAAGAAGAGTAACGTTTCTTTGCTGCTTCCCTCACATCCCAGCCCCAACCCTTTTCTGTTCATCGTCAGAAAGAATTCCCCTTTCCCCTGAACTTTTCAAGGGGTTTGTATGGTAGTACCAAAGGGACAATGCACATCTAAAAATGACACATCCCCAAAGGGGAATTGTGGAAGATGTTTTGTTTCATTTACTTGTTTTTATTTTAAAATGCATTGTAAATATTCCTCGTTAGAGCCATATCAGATACAATAAACATTTAGAGAGGTTCCATGTTACAAAGTCAAGCAATTATCTTTGGAATCTGCTCATCTAATCTATGTCTAAAATCTCAGTTTCTCAATTAATAGTTATCTTGTTTAATCATCAGGTACCCCTGCCTCTACCTCTTTACCAGTCTTTCCTGTTAGATGTCCTCCTCTGTCTGCCCTTCTGTCCCTCAGCTAGAAGTTGCAATAGATACCAGGTTTTCCCAATAAAGTAAGTTTGGTATCAAAAGGAATATATCAGTTTCCATTCATTTTAGTGCCTGACTAAATCTAACGTGATTTATTTTAAACACATGCTGCATTTTCATGTTTGTATATAATTTTCATATGTCCAGATAACGATTGGTTTGCTACTTTTCTGTCCAATCTAATAATTCTGGCTCTGAAAATTATTTAAACTCATGTGATCAGTCTGATGTGCCCATATGCCCCCATTTATTGGTTTGGTTTGGACAGTGATTCTAGGATGAATACTACTTAGTAAATATGCTGTTTTGTACAAAGTATGACAATTCTTTTTTAGGGAAGTCAGTTTTTAAAATTTTTGCCTTTTCTTTATTATTGTAGAAATTTTTCAAAAGGAAGAAAAAATTGGTTCTAATAACCTATGTGCTGCTCAAAATATGTCATCACCTAGAACATTATAATAGGTTGCTATGAAAATAACTGAAGTCTTCCTCAGGAGAAGGAAAGAAAAAGAGAAAGTAACAGCCAGAATGGTAGAGTTCTGGAGGCCCCCACGAGCTCACTTGAGGGGGGCCCTACACAGCTGAAATGCAACAAAACTGGTTTCTAGGATTCTCCAGGGATGTGGGCTTAGAACAATTGGTAGGAATAAGACTTATTTTTGAACATCCAATTTGGGCTCTTCAAGTAATCTCTAGACATGGGAATCCGTTTCCGAGACAGTTCATGGGGCGTACCTGTGCACTTCTCGAGGTCTTCTCAGGAGCACTGAGCAACGGGAGATGTGGTTTCACACCCAGAATGATTTCATGTGCCATTCTTTGTACACAGAGGTGATTCTATGCCTCTACCACCAGGAGAACTTCCGCTTTAGGTTGTTTGTTCTAGTACTTGGGAAGCATTTATGCTCCGTCCAGAGACCATCTTATCATGGCGGGCTGTTTGTGAGATGGTTAGCCAGCGTTAGCAGTGTCTATGGCTTTAGACCAGTCGGTTCCTTGCTCTCTGTGCATGGTGCATATCAAGTCAGAAAGCCGAGAAACCATTCACATTAAAGTCTAGATGCATGAGAATCCTTGCTCTGAGTTGTTAGTGGGTCAGGAGGGGCTTCATCTCTCCTTGTGGTAAAATTATCCAGCAGTACCTTTAGAGATTGTCGAGGCATGAACTATGAGCTGCCTTTAATCTTCAGAAGCTGTGTACAGAAGTCTAGGTATACCACTTACCCCTTGAGAGAAAAATAGAACCCTAACTTGAAGCTGAGGGGTTTTGTATTTCTATTTGCACTATCCCCATAGCCACTGACATGGGCAAATTCATGAAATAGAATTGATTCTCTACATTTTCTCTTAATTTTTGCCTTTAGGAAAAATTAAAATTCTTCAAAGACAGCTAGCTGTCACTGGTGCTGCCCCAAAGCTTTCCCATTTGTATGCATTTTTTATGAATGAAATGGTTGCTACGGGAAGGCCAAGGTTCACCTAAGAGTATCATGGTATAAATATAATGGTTTAGCAACTGTTTTAATTTTTCTTTTCCTGTGCCAGTTATAGACTACAATCAACCCCTTTTCAGTAGCTTCTGTTCATCGGCCTATGTTTTCCTGGGCAGTAACTCCCAGATGCTTTTCTTAGTGATTATAAAGCAAGAAAATCTTATCTGGGCCTATGTTGCAAAGGTGGGTGGTCTACTTTCTGGCAAATTGAGTTGGTGGATTTTAGATAAGCCTTTGGGGTTCCTGTCACAGGTTCCTGGGCTCTGAGGAAGGGTTGCACCTCTTTTACTCTGAGTGTTTTGAGTATTTTTCAAGTGTTTGTAAGTTCTCTTACACTCCTCTAATAAAAATGAAAGCTATCTGTCAAGGAATGGCTTTGGATGGTTCAGAGATCTGGGGGAAAAGAAATAAGTACACCTGAGACATTCAGTTGGTCTTTTATTTATTTAGAATGAAAAGTATTTTGATAAGCTCCCAGACTTAGTACTGCTTTAAAAACACTCTGAAAAGATGGCAACTGTCCCTCAGGAAAGCCATAAAAGCTACTCCCAATACATCGCAATTGCTTTTGATTTTTAGTCCTTTGGAACAAATGTCTGATGTTATGTCTGATGTTATGTTTTTAGAGCTGTGGGGGGAAACGTCTAAACAGTTTTAGGGGGTAGTATTGAAATGATTATCTGGCTGAATTATGTGTGAGCTAGATTCTAGGGCAGCTGTCCAGGTCTTTTTCTGTTGTCCTGACAGTAACGCAGGTAGTGAGCCGTGTCTTGAAAAGTGATTTGCTTATTTCCTACTGACATCTAAAGACATTAGCTTTCTGTTTGGCAACCCTGGGGGTACCCCTTTGCACCGTGACTTATTAATGTTTTTTTAGACAAGGCTAACCTGGACGACTCTCTCTCTGTATTTCTAGTTTCAGTATTCATATACCAGCTGCTAAAAGAAAAACCATAACTTATAATCTTGTCTTGAAATTACTCCTAATTGTGAAGTTCACCTAAATTCTTCATGTTTAGGGAGGATTGCTGCTAGTAACGTCAGTTTGCAGTGTTCTGCTTTAGGTGTGTGTCATATGGGAGTCTGGAATCTGTAATAAATATGATTGTATTAATGTACTGACTGCTTTGTCTCTGCTGATTTTGAGGGGTGATGGAGGGGAGGAGGCATGGGAGTCTATGACCAAGTGAAGACACACCTAGAAAGTTAATGCGTTTCAAGCCTTCTGCCATCTCATTGTTGTAACCTTGCACCTTTTCTTTACCAAAGCACACATATCTACATCAATTCTCCTTGTGTGGCTTTGTTCTTCCATGTTTATTAGAAGCTCATGCTTAGAAAAGGAACTTGGCCCACATTGTGAATTATCTCTTCTAAACTCCAAGCAATGGTAATTGCCCTGTGAATTTACTCTACCTAATAGCTCACTGGCATTAACCTCCTCTTCGTGATCTGCTAAGATCACCCTTCACTCTGCTCCCTCTGAGGGTTTGACCACATTTGACTAATTGATCCTCACATGGCTCCGGAAATATTTGAATTTGTCACCAGCTTCCCTCTGTGCATGTACAAGGAAATTGAACTGCTCCAAGATTTGCCACATGGATTACTTGATCTCCTCTGTGTGCTTCCAGAACTGAGTGACCTGGGTAAGGTAGACAAAAATCACACTGATACTTAGAGAGGGAAAACTCAAGTTAACCGTCAAGACCCAGTTCCCCACTTTCAAAGAATATATTAAGCTGGGCTTAGCCGACATACAAGAAATTTCTAACCACTACAGTGGAGGGAAGGGAGGCAAGACCCACATGCTCTAATTCTTCCCCCTTGCTTGTTTGTTTTGTATCTCAAAGACTTCTGATTAAATGAGAATGTCCTCATTAATCAAAAAAAGGCAGGACCGTCAGCTAGCTTGACATTTAAAATGTACAGTGACAGTTAAATATTGGCAGGGGGATGGAAGCCAGTGGAATGAGAGATATCTATTATCTTTCCCTAAGCTTCCCGGATTCCAGTGGCAAGTTTATTGCCCCACCACGTTCTTTCCTGAATAGAAGTGGAGCGCTCCTCAGTCTGCTCAGCTGCCGCTAGGTGGCAGTGGGTTAAAGAGAACTGCTAAACCAGAGGCCCCAGAAAGACTTGAGTCTCCTGGATCTCCAGTCATGGCTACAATTCATCGTTAAAAGCTCACCAGTCTGAACCGAGATAATCAAGGAGAAACAAGCTATAATCAACCCAAGTGGTAATATAAACGTTTCTTCCCAATATTGGATTTGCCTAATTTGAAGCCTAGGAAACCTGACTGATGGCAATCAGCCAGTGGATGTGCTTGAAGAAGAATGGTCAACAGCGAGCTTGCCCAGCGTCCCGTGTTTCAGGAGGCTGTCACCGGTCTCAGGTCATGGGGTTCCTTGTTTCTTCTCCGCATCTGGTCAGCTCCACCCAGCCTCTTCCCAGCTGCTTGCTAAGGAGTACCCCGGGCAAACGGTCTCGATGCCCCTGTTTCTTAGCAGTTTTCTCACTTTTGGAAACAAGTCAGTTTCACCCAATGTTGATGCCTGGGAGCACGCTTGTAAGAAAGGTTTCATCTGTCTTAAGGTTCCATGATCAGAATGGAGTCTCCACTCTGAGACCAAGCAAATATGCTCCTGAGTCAAAGGAAAACTTATAGTAGACACAGAAAAGTCTATTGTTTTAGGCTGGACTCTGGGGGCAGAAGGGGTGGGTGGGCAGTGGTAGTAAGTCTCCTATAGCACTTAACGTCAAGGCCCTCAGAAGACTTTGTCCCCTCTACCTCAAGAAATAATTTCTCAGAAGCCTATAGTAAAGAGGAATACAGAATGTGAAATAATAAATAGATAAAGTCTCCAAATGAATAACTAAAGATAAGATTATAATTAAAAACTATCTCATGGCTTTTTGGACCATGGCAACTTGCACCACATTTCACTCAAATCATGCTATGTGAAGGGGCAGAGGACAGATCAGGCAATAAGAAATACTGTCATTTTTGAGCATTTCAGCCCTGTGCCAAGCATATTATATGCATTGCCTTATTTAAATACAACCACCAAGAGAGAAGGATTTTATCCCTCTTACATATGTGAGGCAACTAAAACAAAGTAACTTGGGACGCCTGGGTGGCTCAGTTCGTTAAGCATCTGCCTTCAGCTCAGGTCATGATCTTCAGGTCCTGGGATCACCCTGCTTTGGGCTTCCCTGCTCAGTGGGGAGTCTGCCTCACCCTTTTCCCTGCTTGTGCTCTCTCTCAAATAAAATCTTAAAAACGCGCGCACACACACACACACACACACAAACCAGAAAGTAACTTGCCAGCATCTCTTTGCTAATCAATGGCAAATTTGGGATACTCTCTAGGTCTGTCTGACTCTTGAGTTTATTTTAGCCAGCTGTAACTTAAAAATATTAAATTTCTCAGGCATTGACCAGGAAACTGACAAAGCTGAGTCATCCCCTCCAATTAATCAGAAACCAGAGGGTTGAGTTAAAACATGGTTTGGTGATCTGCTTCAAGTTTCTCTAGTCCCTTCTGATTCATACTGTTATTTAGGTGGAAGTGAACATACACACAGGGCTTCATGGCTTCCAAAGAGGATGAGGGTGGTGGGCACCCCCAGGGCAGCAGGCCCACTGTGGCTCTGGGAGTAGTGGCTGCCAAGTGAGCACCAGGAGGTATTTCATCCACCAGTAAGTTTGGCCCTGGAAGGGGTATCGATCCAATAGCCTTGTTAAAAAGCAGATGAGATGGGGTGACATAGTGGTCTTTCCCAGCTCTTCAATATGCATTAGAAAGTCTGCTGTCCCTTTCCTTCCAGTGTTCTCCAACACTTGGAAAGAATGCGTTCTCTTGGCCTTGACTATATATTCATCTTATTAAGGAAACTCTTGTCAAGGCTAAACTATGGGTGTGCTAAAGCTACAGAAAAATAAAGATTACTTGAAGGCTTACAGTCTTTCTCCTGAGACCTAAAAGGGGGCACAGGCAAAAATGTTTGGCAAGCTCTCTGTCCACCTTGTAGAATTTCCTTTCAACTTGATAATTTGTTAATTTCTAGAATACAGCAATCCTGGGAGGAGCTCGCTATCGTAGCCTCTTGCACTAATTACTTCGGAGCCTGAATTTCCTGATCTCTAAAGTAGGGATTATCCTATATCAACCCTACCTCACAAGGTTGGTGTCAGAAAGTGCTTGGTCCAGACAGCAAGCACTTAATGTCATTTATACTGTGTTGAGCTTGCTCTGAGGTGCTTAGCATTCTTTACTTCTCTGTGCTTGCATTCTGTGTCCTGAGACCTGCCCTGGCAAACAGATGGATAGAGCAGAATGCTGTTGTCATCCTTTTTTCTAGCACACAGGTGTTTGAAAGATTGTTCTCCGGCTTCTTGAGTTCTCTGTGCTTTCTTATTTGGCTTTCCCTGGGTTAAAACTTCAGAATATCATCAACTTCTCCACTACTGGGAGAGCAGTGTGCTCCCCCAGGAATGACATTAGGCTCCACGGGACATTCATTAGTTGGGGTTACGAGAGGACCACAGGGCACTGGAATGGTAATTTCCTACATGGGACCCCAGTGACCCAGAGCGAGCTAGCTCAGCTGGTCTGAGCATGTGGCTAATGAGGGAAGGGTCATGGTTTCACTCCTGTGTGGGCCAATTAGTGTCACGTGGAAAAGCACGCTCCTGGGGCATCAGGCAGCAGCCTTACATGTGTGTGGCACTGGTCTCCAGGATGGCTCAGTGTGGCCATCATCACTGTCAGAAACCCAACCCAAAGCCTACACCTTCTTTCTTTTTATTACATAGCCCATTGTTTCCAAAACATGGGTCATTTGCAGAGCACTCTCACAATTTTTGCTTTATCCTGCAGACTACCGCTTATTTATTTGGTATTTTTCTATAAATTGACCCCCTTCTAGCTTACACTTAAAAGGAAGCTGTGCATCATTCTACCATCAATGGCAAGTTGGAAAATTTGCCCTAAATCGAAAGCGCACATTAAAAGAAACTTACAACTATTGAAATTAAAATGTTTGTCTTCATACTATCTGCAGATACCTCCTGAGCCACAAGTGATCCGTGTACTGCGTGTTAGGAAATGTTGCATTATATAAGCTTCATGTGTTTTGTAATACACACACTGTTCCATAATAAAATGGTCACATCAGCAAAAACAGTATTATGAAGCAACTGCTTCAGTGGGAAGAGTTGGGATCAGTGAATGGGGAGTTTCACACTTGAAGCGATGAAATTATTCTTGCAGGAATTTCAACACCAAAGGTCTTTCTAAATGCCGTAAATGTATAGCTATAAAACCTCAACTCTGAACAAATCCGGAGTTTAATTTACATCTAGCTTTTGCTCAGAAGTCATGGTTTTTGTTCGCACTCCCTACTCACACTATCATTAACACTGTGCTTCTTACACGTCCTTATCATTATCAGCTGTTTTATGATAAACAAAGCACAAATATGCAAAGCAGATGTGTTGAGCGCACAACATCTTTGTTCAGCTCCAGTCATGAGCCAGTTCACACTAATCTGCCTAGTTGGCCAGTTCCTTATAGAGATCAAATTATAACCAATAGTGGTGTTGGTAATAAAAATGTATTCCCTAATTAATTGAGCATGTTACATCCAATCCAGTTAGGAAAATGTGCACTGGAGGACAAATACACATAAAAAGATGCACACACTCCTCTTCAAGGTTGAGAGAAGGCCCAGCCACTTCCATTATTGGAGGCTCCCAATACACTAAAAAAAATGAAGAAAGGTCAAAGCCAAGTTGCAAACTTCGTGGTATATTTTAAAAATTCAAGTTGAATGATAGCTTTCCATCCTCTTTGTATACCTGTGAGTAGGTGTGTAGCCTCATTTAGAAATAGAGCCCCACGTCTGTATGTGAGGCCTTTGTGAATGTGAAGTCCAGAAGGTCCTCCCTTCCTGCCCTTGTTCGGTTCAAATATACCATAAGGCAGAGCATAACATTTTAGCAACGTAGAAACACAGAGTCATCCAGGGTGTATTTCCTTCTCCTGTCTCCTCCCTTATCTTGTGGACTCTTGATAAAACCACTCTTGTTATTTGGTGCTGCTTGGGTT